TAAACATTTGTTTGTTGGACTATATTTTAGTGACTTTGCTCCAGAATGCTAAATTTATGACTGGGAATGAAAACTTACATAAATATGTTTCCTAGTAGGCCAAGATTTTTAAAAGGCATTATTTGCCAAGGTTGTTATCTCACATCGTTGCTATCTTGAGAGGTCATTATACTAAACACTTTTATGATTATAATTAATTTTTACATAAGAATGGTCATATTGGGTCAGACCAGTGGTCCATATAACCCAGTATCCTGTCTTCCGACAGTGGTCAAGGCCAGGTGCTTCAGAAGGAATGAACAGAAGAGGGAATCATCAAGTGATCCATCCCCTGTTGCCCATTCACAGCTTCTGGCAAACAGACTAGGGACTCTCAGAGCATGGTGTTGCATCCCTCCCCATCCTGGCTAATAGTCACTGATAGACCTATTCTCCGGGAATTTATCTAGTTCTTTTTTTAATCCTGTTATAGTTTTAGTCTTCACAGCATCCCCTGGCAAAGACTTCCACAGGTTGACTTTATGTTGTGTGAAGAAGTACTTCCTTTTGTTTTTTTTAAAACCTGCTGCCTATTAATTTCATTGGGTGACTTCTAGTTCTTGTGTTATGTGAAGGATTAAATAACATTTCCTCATTCATTTTCTTCACACCAGTCAAGATTTTATAGACCTCTATCATATCCCTCCTTAGTCGTCTCTTTTCTAAGCTGAAAATTCCCAGTCATTTTAATTTCATACCCCTAATCATTTTAGTTGCCCATCTCTGTACCTTTTCCATTTCCCATATATCTTTTTGGGGATGGGGTGACCAGATCTGCACACAGTATTCCAGGTGTGCACGTACCATGGATTTAGATAAAGGCAATATGATATTTTCTGTCTTATTATCTATCCCTTTCTTAATGATTCCCAACATTCTGTTCGCTTTTTGACTGCCGCTGCACATTGAGTGGATGTCTTCAGAGAACTATCCACAATGACTCCAAGATCTCTTTCTTGAATGTTAACAGCTAATTCACACTCCATCATTTTGTATGTATAGTTGAGAGTGTTTTCCAATGTGCATTACTTTGCACTTATCAACATTGAATTTCATCTGCCATTTTGTTGCCCAGACACCCAGTTT